GTGGGGAAGAAACGTCGCTGCCTCAGACGAAGCAGGGGACCATATGCTGACCCAGAAGACCTGTATGATTTTGTTTTTACTGTTGCTAGAGAGGATAATTCAGGGATACTCAACAAAAACAGCACCACAGATGGAGAAAACACTGAGAACTGGACTAGTTCCTCCCCAGGATCTCCGTGCACTGGCCATGCTGCCTGTAAGAAAAGAGTAGGATCTGCTGGGATCTTTTCTCTGAAAGCCGCTCGCCACTTCCGAAGCGTGTCCACGCTGGAATTGTTCTCCATTCCTTTGACTGGGGAGACTTGTCGGACTCTGAGTAACCTGCTGAGCTCCTGGGTGTCTTTAGAAAACTTGGTTCTGTCTTACAACGGTTAGTGGTGTGAACAGGTTGGTTCCTTCCAGCCTTGGTCTAATGGTCTGACTTACTGCTCAGGTTTACCCTGATTTTATTTTTACTGGAATGGGCATTGTAAGAGCACTGGTACCCAATCTGGAGAGTGGCATCGGTAGAGATGTTTAATGAATGCGAGGACTTGTTTGAGGGAGAGAATGGGGCCCTTCTGCCCCAACAGCCCCCAGCCTTGTGCTTAAATGCCATCTAAAGAGGGCAAAGGGAAGAGCCAGATCTGCATCTCCCATATACACAGTCTAGCTTAAGAACATGGGGATAAAGCAGTCTGTGAGTTTAGCCTTTGACTTAGGAGGCTTGGCCATAGGTGCAGCTCAAGCTGCGTGTGCCTTGGTGTCTGTACAGGCATAGCTAACACCTCTCTGTACAAATGCTGTTCCAGGGCTGGGTGCTAACATCTTCTGTATCCTCTCTGGGCTCCGGGCCCTCTCCCGCCACTCGGACTGCCATCTCCGCGTGGTGCGTGTGAGCGACGTCTTCTCCCACATGCCTTGCATGGAGCTTGTTCGCTGCGTCCTGAGAGCCTTTCCCCAGCTCCACACGCTCTCGGTCAGCTTCGACCTCAAAAACCAGCTGGAGGGGAACAGGCCAGAGGGGAGTCCAAGCTGCAGTGAGGTAGAAATCCCAGGTAGGATTCATCATTGTGAGTGATGACCAGGATGTGGCAGGGAGATAGAGCTGTAAAAGCTTGGCACGGAGATTTGAACTCTACACTGTCACAGCGATGTGTAATTAAGCAATTACAGACTCACTTTTCTGATTTAGATGGTGTTGCAGTTTTTCATTTCCAGTCTGTGATGTGCTCTGTGGAGTCTGAGTCTTGGACAAAGCATTTTATTGCTGTATGCCAACCTGCTGTAACATCAGCTTTGTACAGGGCCAGTCATAACCTGCTAACAGTGACTGTCCCCGCAGCCAATAGGGATTGTATCCTAACCAGATCTGTAAATTGGTTGGGAGCTTCTGCTCTGTCCATCCTATTGACCATGAGACTCTAAGCCTTAGATGCTTAAGCAGAGGGAAAGCATCTCTTGATCATCACAACACCACAGGTGATGCCAAAGCACTGCCCAAGCCTCTGGATTACAGTCTGGGAGCTATAGCAGTGTGTTCACAGCTCACAGGTCTCTCATCACCCTTGTTAGCCCTTGAATGACCAGAAAAGCAGTAAGCAAAGCCTGAGCAAGTATGGAGCGTGGTCAGTGAAGAGCTGCGCTCTGGGAAGACACTGACTGGTTTGTGCATAAAGGGTGACTTTTTCCTCAAGCATTGTTTCACTGCCAAAACACAGTAGAAATTGGTGGCCCTGTGGTCTGGCAGGAGTCCTGAAATGAGCCTTAAGTGATTTACATTACCATAGGTCTGACTTGCCACAGAGCTCTGTGGGGCAGGGTGTGTCGCATAAGCACTTTCTACCAACCTAAATGATGGTTGTGTCGGACATACAGACTTCTTGCTGTAGGACCTAGCTATGTTGAAGATGGGCACTCCAGATCAAGCTCTTTCATTGTTGTTTGTTTTTTTCCCCTTAGAGAGCTGCCTGGAGCAGCTGGAGATCAGATTCCCCAGGGAACCTCTGCACACTGCCAGTGCTCAAGGCGTCCAAGTCCCTGCAGCAGTTGTCCCTTGACAGTGCCACGCTGCCCTGTTCTCAGGAGCTTGGGCTCCTTTTGGAGGCACTCAAAGGTACTCTGCTAACCTGTAGATAGCATCACTGTGACACACAGAGTAGCTTCCTCGCTGTGATCTTCCATCCTTTAGCATGAAACCAGCTTAGGTGAGTCCATTTCTTCAGCGTGGGCATCTTGAAGTCTCCTGAGAAAAGGAGATGGGTGTCAGCCATCCCACTTCCTGTGCTGAGCATGTAAATGATCCTGCACAGCAGCACGGTTCTTTTTTAATTACCCACAATCCAGCACAAATTATCCACAGTCCAACTCAGTTTCTGGGCATTAGTTGGTAGTTGGGTCAGGGTCTTTTTGTCCCAAGGATGTACAGTACTTTACCTGAGAATTTCTTTTGCTTTTAGAGTGTAATCCAAATTTGAAGAAACTGAGCTTTCATGATGTGAACCTGGCTGAGCACCAGAAAGAAGTTCTGCTTTTGCTTCAGGATCCTGTCCTGCAAGGTACAGCAAACTCCTGGGTGCTGTTGCTTGGAAGGATGCTGCAGGTGGCTGCTTTTGGCTGGCTGACATTTAAGAGGTGATCTTCAGATGTGTAAGGTTTATCTCAATGTCACTGTCACTGGAGCAGATCTGTAGTTGTTGGCAGAGTGGGAACATGTCTGGTTCTTTGCGCCAGCAGGGCAGTGAGAGGAGCAGCTGCAAAGCTGGCATACACTGCGGAGAAGAGTGCATAGTCTTGGCTATAAAACAAAGATTTTTAACCTGCAGAGCACATCAGGCCTTTAACTGGGTCAGCTGGCAAAGCCACTTCCCTGGGTGTGATTCCTGCTCTCTTCCTGTGACAGAGTGGCGGTGCTGTTGTATGCAATCCACTGCTGGGGAAGCTTTGTTCTTGCATACGGATTAGGGGCTGGAGCTGTCTGCAGGATGTAATTATGGAATAATGAAGCGTGCAGGGAGTACTAACGTGTACTGTCAATCCATTTCTTCCATAGAAATCACGTTTTCCTTCTGCCGGCTCTTTGAAAGCTCTACTACTGAGTTTTTGTCAGAAATAATCAACACAGTGAAAAGAAATTCATCTTTGAAGAGCCTCAAACTGCCTGGGAATCGCCTTGGTGCGTACTCTGAATGTTGCTCTGGGGCCTTGACTTTAGACCAACTCTCTAGGAGATAACTTCAGGATTGAAGTTAAGACCATTGCTAGCTGGTGACCTCAATGCTGAACTTCATACATGCATGAACAGAGTGGATTTAGTTCACAAAATAAGGAGCACTGAGTTCATTTTTTAAAGGTAGAATTTCAGTTGCATTCAGCAATGTACCAAGAGCCCAGGTACTGTGCAGGCATTATGGTTGCTTTTCTCT